ATCGCTCTCAATACAACGTCTCCGTTATCTAAAATTATCCACTTGGTTGTATAGACATTACCTTCTTCTTAACTGATGTAAAAATTCATTTCTTAAAGTCTATTTGTGGACGAGTTATACATGTTTGAAAACACAACATTTTCGCAACAGATTTCTGGGTTATGCGTTTCTTTTTTGGAATAGTATATATGCCAAAAGCGCCGTTAATCCCGACTCACTCACTCGTTACAATAAACCTTTTGAGTGTGGATAAGTAACTGAGGGTATTCATTGATTATCTGATTACAAGCGACTGATGAAATGTGTCATTCAGCGTTGCATATCGATAGTCGGTTCGAGTCCTGGTTCGCCCCCATTTCTGGGTTTGTCGGTGCCAAACCTTTGCTCGTTGATAACTCAATAGTAATAAATATCTGAGGTTTGAAAGATCCCAGGTTTTCTCACGGGCTGGCTATCAACATAGGACACGAAGATCAATAATTAACCGATAATCGAAAGAAATGAAAGAAATTAAAATATGCCACATCACTGATAACAAAACACTTCCCTGAACATATGAATAAATACCTGTGCTGCTGAGGACATATCTACTCTTTTCGAGAACAGGACGGACATAGATGCTCGAGTTCAAGAGCCTGGTTCGTCCATAAGGAAATGTAAGCTGTCCCTTTTGTCTTAGGATCAAAAATACATTTTTGTGTGAGTAAGTGTTTGTGCGAGTAGCTGGGTTTGAGTGAATTAGTGATTGAGTGAGTGAGAGAGGAAGGAATTCACCTGAGGGAGTCCGCGCGCTTTCCTCGACACTTAAAGCTTACATGCAACGCAAAACACAACTTTGCAGCTTCTGATACCTTTCGGTTTGGACTTACAGAAACAGATTATCAAAAATGCAATTCAACTTATAAAGTTGAAAAATAACGCGATGACCCCACCCCGATGACCCGCGAGCTTTTTAGATGTTATGACAGTAGATTACCGAATTAACTGTTTATATAATTTCAATTGTCTATTTCACCACACGTTCTTCTTACCGAGTCACTTTCTCAGTCCGATACTTAAAAGCAATGTCATTATTTAGCGTTGACAGAATTTCTAACTGCGATATAGATATGTCGTCCGTTACACTTAAGTGCACGCCAACCCGCTCTGACTGGGTTTGGTATCCGGGTGCTTCGTTGCATATTGTACTTTTGATTTGCGATTGTACGCTTATAATTTTGTTTATTTGGGTTTTTTCATAATCATCTATGTATATTATATGTCATGAATAAATAATAATTGCGTTTTAATTATGTTTATTTTTTGGGTTGCATCTAAGCTTTAAACTAAGGCAGGAGAGCTTCTTGTATTGTGTGAGTGAGTAATTGAGCGAGTGGGCGGCTGGTTGAGTGAGCGAATGCATGAAAGCGTGAGAGAGGGAGGTATTCACCAGAGCGAGTCAGCGAGTGAGTGAATGAATGAGAGACTAGGTTTTACACCGCTTTTAGCAATATTCAAGCAATATCACGACAAGCTTCACACATTGTACCATATGAGGAATCGAACCCGGTTCTTCGGCGTGAGGAGCGGACGCTTTAACCGTTAGGCTACCCCACCGACCCTGGCTTTCATTGACAATCTTCTCACATGAAAATGCTTCAAATTTCTTAGAAAACGCAAACTTTTCCTAAAGTACATTCACGGAGCAGGAACTGTTGAGCAATTTATATCCCCATAATCCTCCAATTCTGAGAAATACCTCAATTCCTTTTATCAGATATGTTATGATAAAAGACAGCTGGGTTGTATTCAAAGCACTGATCTCACGGTAATACGGTAAGCGGAAGACAATCGGTTCATGTGACACAACTGGGGATTCACGTGTCATGTTGTGTTCAAATAACACAAGGAAGTAAACACAATACTCCAGTTTTCATTGGTTAGTAGATGCCGTGGATTTCAATGAAATATTTCAATTTCAACAGCTGGAATTACACAGAGGAACTTCTGAAACTAAAGAATATTTTGAATGACGCTAGTATGTGAAATACGATTACACTTGGAGATTCTCTTATTCATTTGACCGCCTCCGTTGTGTAGTGGTTAGAGCGTACGCCCGGAAGGTCGCAGGTTCGATCCCCGGCCGCGTCATACCAAAAGACGTTAAAATACGGTACTTATTGTTCCCTGCCTGGCGCTAGACATTAATGGGTAAAACAAGGACAAGTATAATGTGTCTATGTGAGGTATTCATGCTTTTAAACTGCGGCATGGTATCGCAGCAGACACTATACCCTGGGCTAGTAGTAGGACAAGCAGCCACACACACACAATGCATGCACGTCGCCAAATGAACGAAACAGTCTTAAATACGACGTTAAACCCCATTTCACCTCAACTCTTTTTCATTTAACACATTACCCATTTTCAATTCAATCGGTCTTCAAGCCTCAAGCTGACAGACCGGGATATAAATCTAACATGGTTAAACGCGGAGTTAAACTCAACCGATTCCATGAACTTTAAAAGTTATGTAAATTTCGAAGGTCGTATATATTTTTTCATTTGTGCGTTCATCCAACTTCCTGAAACGTTGCATTGTATCTTTGTAATTTGAAACAGCTTTACTGTTCATCAGACCTGTTATGAAAGTGTTGCAATGAAACTGAATGTTTAACTATCACCTCGGTTCAGTCAGACACCGTTGTGTCGAACCTCGGGTATCTCGAAGTAAACCCTCGGTCCCTTCGTATTCCGTTCTAGTCATCATTTTGCGGATGTGTCGAACCTCGGGTAACACGAAGTATTAAAGTTGGTACCTTCAACTTCGACACAACCATATTTGACATTTTGTATTACAGGGTTCAGAATTAGGCAGAAAATGGCATCGTGGCGTCCAGGCTTCTGCGGTGTTGGTGGACAGCACATCCGGGTTAGTCAGTCCACAAAGCGCAAAGATTTGCAGTGACGCCTCTTAGTTGATCCTGTGTTCGAATCCCGATTCGCTTGTATTACGTTGCGAGGCGTTTCCGTGCTCGTGCATTTCACCAAAAGGGTAAGCATCTTAAATGCGTATATTCCCTTATATTAACACTAAGCCGTTAAACTCTACTTAGCCGGTCAGCCACATCTCTCCCTCTCTCTCTCTCTCTCTCTCTCTCTCTCTCTCTCTCTCTCTCTCTCTCTCTCTCTCTCTCTCTCTCTCTCTCTCTCTCTCTCTCTCTTCCTCCTAACTTTCTCTGTAAATGTGGTTTCGATTCCCCACATAAGTACAATGTGTGAAGCCCAATTCTGGCGCCAAACGCCGTGATATTGCTGGAATACTGCGTAAAAGTGCACTCACTCACTCACTTCTACTCAGCTACGAGAGAATATTTTCATCCAATTAAAGTAGATTGCATTCCAATTCTCCCCCTCTCTCCCTGCTTCCTTCACTCACTCACCCATTATTATGATTGTCATGGAGTTTTGTTTATGTTTCCGCTTGTTGTATAAAGGAGGAACACTGTTGTTTACATTAGTGTTGGGAATTGGTTAAAATGTCATAATTGATGATTGGTTTATTACCACCGATCAATCATTAAAAATAATTGGTTAGCGTCATATATGAAATTTGTTAATGCACAAAAATATAAGAAAAAAACATGTACTTATTTTTGTTTTTTGGGGGGCAAAATGTCACATCTTTAAAGGATGACTAGTATGTTAGGAACATAAATTTCTTGATGTCTTTAAGATAAATTCATTGATGACTTGGAACAAGCTTGTAGTGCTTATGAAATGTAACAGACAAAACCAACCTTGTGAAAAATATTGTTGATGAAAACAAGTGTTCCAGAATTGTTTGTGTTCGATTATGAGAAAACATGATCGATTGCTTGGTCGTTTAGTCACTGCGACCAATCTTCGATTATTTCAATTAATCGGACCACCACTAGTTTACAGCTAGTTCCGCTTTCTCCAACACGCGGTCGTCAAGACTTTGCCTATCACTCTTGGGAAGGCAGATTGTCGGGTTAATAGTATTTGTTCCTTGTCAATACTGTGTGTTTCATTTTTTAATTATTTTTTTTTATTATCATTATTACTAATAAGGAAACAGAGCAATTCACATATACTATTCACATTCTGCTAAGGAACAAATCATGGATTCATCATTGGCATTGGCAAACCTTTCTTTCTAAATTGTACAAAGATTACCATGGTAACAAACGAAATGAATGAATAAATTCATGAATGATAGATGGATGATAAATTATTAATAATAATTAGTCCATTATATTGGGTTAAATCCACACCGCCAGCTTGCTCATAGCGCATACAGTTCATTGTTACCCAGATAACCAAAGCTGCCTGTAAGGCGCTAGAAGGTTATAGTCATGTGACTTGGAAGGAGGGCGAATGAAAGAATGAATGAATGAATGAATGAATGAATGAATGAATGGATGGATGGATGGATGGATGGATGGAAGGCGAATGCATGAATGAATGAGAGAACAAATGGACAGACGAACAAACACAATTATAAACTCAATAAACAATACCAAGATAAGAAACGAAATGAACGAACGGACGAACGAATGAACGAACGAACGAACGAATGGACGGACGGAAGGACGGACGAACTAACTTTATAAACAATACCAATATAAGAAACGGAATGAATGAATGAATGAAGGAATGAATGGAAGGACTGACTGATCTGAGTTTAGTTTTACGCCGCTTTGCTAGAATGAATGAAGGAATGAAGGAATGAATGAAGGAATGAATGAAGGAATGAAGGAAGGAATGAAGGAAGGAACGGACGGACGGGCGAACTTTATAAACTTTATAAAAATACCAAAATAACAAACTAAGTGAATAAATGCATGAACGTTTGATGGATGGATGGCGTATGAATGAATGAATGAATGAATGCCTCCCCCTCTAACCAACACTATCTCTCTCTCCCTCCTTCTCTATCACACACACCCTCTGTTCCACTTAACGGATCGTAAGCTGAGTACAATATACACAATGCAAGCCGCCCGTCTATCAACATCAAATGCTGACTGTCTACAATTTCATATCCGTGTGTGTAACACATTACAACGTCCTTGACCTTCAGATAAGATTCACGACGAACACTCCGAAAAATTAATACACATCCTACTGGACCTCCAGCCCAGTGAGCGGCCACAACAGAGACCTCGGGGACACCGAACCTTGTCTGAGGGCTACATACCCGGGAGGGTATAAAGCGGAGAATGGAGGGATACTATGACACAAATACCTCCGAGAAAAACTTACGGAAACTCGAGAGAGGAGTAGTTGTGACTGTTTTTTGTTCCTCAAAGAAGAAGCCAGAGAACGTCACCTTAAGAGCCATTCTGGAGACCAAGGAGGTCATATGTATTTTATACGAGGGGGGCAAGCCAGAATATAGAGGTATGTTTATATTTATCACTCAAGCGTGAAGCGTACCGTTCATGTCGACAGCTCCCACGTAGCCATGGACGCTTTAACGTATTTATCTTATCTATCGCATTGTTTATGTCTTATACATTATTTATGATATTATTTATGATATTTGTGATCGAGGTTAGATTTTTAGTTTTATATGATGGAAATAAACCGCGGTTTTGTTCGTAATATGAACAAGGAGTAACCCAGTTCTTTCTACTTCCTGGTTCACTGGTGCTCAGGTCAATTGAGTAATCCAGCGACAGTGTTTGTTCAGTAAAATGTAGAGTATGCGAGGCGCGAGGTTCCCCTTAAACAAGCTTCCCTAACGCCTACCCTTATTTCAAAACCATGGGACTTCCGCGTCAGAAGATACATAACCTATGCTTGTAAGACACGACTTAATGGGCAAGCTGTTCCAACATGGAGATTTGATAGAGTTCATGTAATTGTAACCCCAAAGTGATGATAAAGGGACGTAATATCAATCACTGGATTGTCTGGTTCAGATTGGATAATTCATAGTTGGCCGTCATGTAGCTGTAATTTTATGTTTAACACTTTATTAAAACATAAATAAATATTTCATTTAACTCTGAGGACATCTTTGTAATCTCCATAATTAGTTTAAACTGTTTATTACTTGGCACAAAATACCAGCTTAAAATGTTTAATTTCACATCGTATAAAATTATTATTTAACGATACCAAATGAAAAAATTATGTTATTATGCATTTACATTTTAATTCAATATTTGTAAATTAGTGAAATTTTCTGTTTTAAATTTCTTGAGCTAATTTAACAAAATAGATAACCGTCTGTAAAAATCTAAAGATGTTTGTGCAAGCCTTTACAGATCAGTGTACTGTTTTATTTTCCGGATTTCTTGACAAACAACGTATGCATAAAGAAACAACACGACGTTGCCAGGTAGGAGTTGAGGTAGTTTATTAAAACATCTCGTATGCCTGGAGATTACTCATTTTAAATTAAATAATTTCAGTTTTGCTATGTGTTGAGAGATAGGGTATTCCATGATGCCGGAACATGAACTGATCCTGCATCCTGCATCCTGGCCTAATACGATGAGTGAGTAAATGAAAGCATCATTTGTCAACACAGCATAGACCTCTAACAAAAACAAACTGAGAGAAAAGACAAACTGTTCCGTGTATGTGTTTTATTAAATAAAATACTGAAATAATTTTTATGATAATTTGATCTCGTCAATTTGTCGTCTACAGCTTATAAAAATATTTTGGTTTCAATATATTTTTTCAGTTAAGACTTGAAATGCAACTGGATGAAACAAAATTTATTTATTTACAAAGCTAAGGTATGCATCAACAGTTGTGTTTTATGAAATTTCATACTAATTTTAAAAGTTTTAAATCAAATTAAATTTAGAAAAAAAAAATCATGTAGAATTATTCCTTGATTGATGGCCTAGCGCAGACCAGTTTATTTTGTAATATGATTGTTTTAAACATATTTTATTGTCCAAGAGACAGGGATTGGGCTCAAGTGTACCACCATGGTCGCCTTCTCCCTAAATAAGTCAAACATAACATTACATAATGGGGATAAACAATCTACAGTGGAAGATTGGCACTATGGAAACACATTTATGTATAATGTTGAATACAGCATATATACAATGTGCTGGAAAGTGAGAAAGGTGTAGATCCCATACATGTGCAAATATTACACAGTTTACTATCTATACATAGACTGAACCGTGATTAACAGGTTGGAAACTATAATGCGATATCAGCTGCTGTATCTCTTTGTAGTTTCTTTATATACTTGTGTACAGACAATAATATATTTTTATTCAACAAACGTTTAGTGTGTAGTGGTTTTGTTTGTTTTCCAAATTTATCAATATCTGAGACTTGCTAAAGTCACCAAATAAAGTGCATTCAACAAGGAAGTGGAATAGTATGATAGCTTTGTAAATTTTCAGTTAAAATTTAAAAAAACAACACATGATAATATCAGCTAAAATGTATATATATACATATATACATACATACATACATACACACACATATATATATATATATATATATATATATCTATGTCTATACATAGTCTGAACCGTGATTAACAGGTTGGAAACTATAATGCGATATTAGCTGCTGTATCTCTTTGTAGTTTCATAATATGTTTCTCAATTTCCAGCACATTGTATATATGCTGTATTCAACATTATATATAAATATGTTTCCATAGTGCCAGTCTTCCACTGTAGATTGTTTATCCCCATTATGTAATATTATGTTTGACTTATTTAGGGAGAAGGCGACCATGGTGGTACAATTGATGACATAGATATATATATTCATATGGTTCAGACTATGGTTCATAAATAAATAAATTTTGTTTCATCCAGTTGCATGTCAAGTCTTAATATGTATCACATAGATAAATAAAAACAGAATGCCTTTTTCTCCAACATGTTTCGTTCTTTACTCTTCAGGGATCTTGCATGTTGCATGTTGGAGAAAAAGGCATTCTGTTTTTATTTATCTATGTGCTATTTATGACTGAACACCTGTGCTATTTTTGACATTTTGTGCGTGTATATATATATATTCGTTTGCTCATCAGTATAATGAATTATACATCACTTCATCTTTGTTCCACATCCTAATCACGAGACGATTATATGTATCCCATTGTCTCACCATAAAGAGACTTGCATGTTCACTTATACTCGAGGCCGGGTCCGGTTTGACTGCTATCTGTAGCTTACGGACCTACATGACTTTATATGGGCTGTGGGGTAGCCTCCTGGGTAAAGCGTTCGCTCGTCACACCGAAGACCCCACATGGGTCCAACGTGTGAAGCGCATTTCTGGTGTCCACCGCCGTGATATTGATGTAATATTGTTAAAAGCGGCGTAAAAGTAAACTCACTCACATAACTTTTTTTCGGTTACTATAAGCAAGTCTATAGTGCAGTTGTACTGTTGCCTAGCTTGTATTTGCTCGTTGTGGATTGTCATAGATAATCTATACATGGCCTGTATGTTGTAATTAGTTACTTTCAGATGAACACTTTAAGACTGTATTGATTCAACAGTTTTGTAGTTAATTTTATTTTGTACTTCATAGAACATATCGCGGGCTTATCTAAAATAGCTTTCACATGTTGTGTTGCTAAATTACCATACATGTTCATGTTCAAACACGTCATTGTAGTCAATAGGGAAACGTAAAAAATGTAAACTACCGTATTGTCGTATTAAAACGTGTGCAAATAAATAAATAAATAAATAAATAAATAACTAAATAAATGAATGAATGAATGAATGAATGAATGAATGAATGAATGAATGAATGAATGAATGAATGAATGAATGAATGAATGAATGAATACCTCCGACACAAAAGGGGATCGGTTGGTCAAGATGGAAGTTACAAATACGCCCTTGCTGTGTGTCAACCTCCAAATACACACAGTAAGGGCGTGAAACCACTCATAATATGTCATCGTGCCCTGCCATCCTTGTCGTCGGTGTGCGCGTTAATTACACCATCGATCACTGGTTTGACTGTTTTTTCATTGCTGGGGCGGGCCCCGATACCTCATGCCTGCCAAATGTGTGGCTACCAGGTGGTCAGCTGATTGACCATCCGAGCAATATTACCCCGATAGAGTTCAACATGTTACTTGTATTAACCCGTGAAGTTCCGGGTTAGAATTGATCTTCAGTAACCCATGTTTGTCGTAATAGCGAATAAAAGGGGTCGGGTGGTCAGGCTCGCTGGCTTGGTCGACACATGTCATCGTATTGCATTTGCGTAGATCGATGCTCATGCTGTTGATCAGTGGATTGTCTGGTCCAGACTCTATTATTTACAGACCGCCACTCCTCTTCACTATGTGGCTGGAATAATGCCGATGTGACGTAAAACCCAACTCAACTCAACTACAGACCGCCGCCATATATAGCGTGAATACTGCCGAGTGTGGTGTGAAACTAAACTCACTCACTGCTTGAAGTATCGATGCTTGTCGACGACATGATGGTCGTAAGGGTAACGAGGGTCCATGCTCGTGGTTTCATCCACTAGTTTGTCAGTCCAGCCATGATAAAGCTTAGATGTCGCCAACTGTCTTAAAACAGCATTCTCTAGCTTCATAAAGCACTCCGATGTCCCATTTCAGGTGTTCCCCGCCGTGATTTTGCTGGAATTTTGCTAAAAGCGGCGTAAAACCATACTCACTCACTCACTCACTCACTCACTCACTCCGATATCCCTGTATCATTTAAACCGTGACAATATCAATGCTTTGTATGAACGTGGCTTTTCAAGTTTTAAAAATATGGCATGTCATTAGCCGTCGAGTAAATATAGGCGTTTGATGTTACGTTCAGTAAAACTACGTACTTGTATGCGAGTGTCCCGCTATTTCCGTGTCCTAACAAATACACTTACATCTGAGACATAACTCTAGACTATTATGTTTTCGCATATATCTAGGTCCTGGTTGTGTTAGAGTGAGTGCGTGAGTTTAGCTTTACGCCGCACTCAGCAATATTCCAGCTATATGGCGGCGGTCTGTAAATAATCGAGTCTGGACCAGACAATCAAGTGATCAACAGCATGAGCATCGATCTGCGCAATTGGGAACCGATGACATGTGTCAACCAAGCCAGCGAGCCTGACCACCCGATCCCATTAGTAGCCTCTTACGACAAGCATGGGGTACTGAAGGTTCATTCTAACCCGGACCTTCACGGGTCAGTTGTGTTAGAGGTATCAAGGCAGTACTTTGATAAAATGGGTGTACTAAAGAAAATGTTCCTGGTCAGATTAAATTGGGTTTTATTGTCAGGTTGGCCAATCCCCTATTCACACACACACGTAATCGAATGAGAACACCATAAAAACCTTAACAATGTATGGTATGGATGTACAGCTTCTTTATTATTTGCAACACGACGTTTCTTAACTACTTCCCCCTTTATCG